AATGAGCAATAAAAAATCTACCAAGAGTATTGAAAATTAGGAGTAAAAAGGCACAAACATATATATATATAGAGAGAGAGAGAGAGAGAGAGAGAGAGAGAGATCTAGAGAGTGATGAAGTTTCAAACCACTAAAACTTCACAAATGAAAATCTTCGAGGAGGATTTAAAATCCATTTTGACATTTGATGGGTAACTAAAAATCTGTGTTGTTCATGTTTAAGTATACTTTCAATGCTTGAGTAGTTATTAAACCTTAGAATCTGTATTTGAATATATGCATTTATATTACGGTCTCTTCGACGAAATTGCTGAGTGACATGTATGAGTTCAGCCTTTTAATTTCAAACAAGAAGCCTAAACTCTTTTTTAAAATTAAAAAAATTGTGCATGTCATCATATGCTTCTTTTTAATTATTTTCAAAAATTAAATATAGAGAAAAATGGGTTATTTGATTGGTTAATGCAATCTAAAGTCGACTCTTACTAGTAGTATAGTAATTTTTTTTTTTTTGTGTGCATCAAATGGATATGCATTTAGATCACTTTAAATATCTACTAGAGAGTATTACCCTATAGTACGATACAACTATTTGTAAGAGATTCCACCACACTTACGTTGGAGTCAAAACTAAAGTCTCACTATTTTTTTTGGGTGGGTGCTCAAGGGTAAGTTTAGTTCTACCGAACTGCTGTAACTATGAAGACTTAATTCAAAGCATTAAACGAAAAAATTCGAGTTCTTATCTCTTGGACCAACGACTTGATAGTTATGGTAAGAGTAATGTTACGTGAACTTTATTTGAGGATCTTATTTAGGAACTTAATGATGATGTGACTTCAATACAACCATTGGATTAATTGTAATTTCAATGTTAGATGAAGTGCATAACTAATTCAATGATCGTACATCATTAAATTCCTAAATAAGGTGCAAATAACTGTTCCCTTATGATAATTATCTTTCCACTTGTTCTTTGGAGAGACTGAATTCATCATTGTTCGTAAAAGTAAACAATTGTAATAGATGGTCATAATATTGTCTATATCTTGTTTCTTCATTATGCATATCTATTGCAGCCGTAATACAAATCGATTTAGGACATGATAAGTTGAGAACTAGATTCTCTTCGATGTATTTTTTTTTGGTGGATCATTTAAAATAAATTCAAGTAAGATTCAATGTATATAGGTGGGTCCCTTAATTATTAATGTTAAATAATTTGTCAAAAAAAAAAATTGAACGAGAGATCAGCATATCCGATAATTTTGTCAATTCCAAAAAAAGAAATCATTTCTCTGTAGGTAACAATTTTATTTTATTTTTTTGAATCAATTATTAGAATTGTAACAGATAATGAGTCATGTTGTGTCAAGTTTGTGTGTTGTTCAAAAATTATTGAATTTTTTTTTTGCTATCGTACTTTCAAATTTTCTTATTTTAATAAGTGTATTTACAATTGTTGTGGGTCATTTTACAACTAAAATATTTTTTGTTTTTTGTGGGTGATTTACTATTTTTGTGAGTATTTTTACTACTGTTGTAACAATTATTTTTACAATTTTTTTTTGTACAAAAAAATTACTATTTTTATGAGTGTTTTTACTACTATTGTGGTAAATATTTTTATCATTTTTTTGGGTACCACAACAATAGTGAAAACACTCACAAATATAATAAATGTCGATACAATACCAAATTTTTTTTGGGCATTATAGACAACTCCTTAAAACTAAATTCATACTCAACAATTTCATGCTGATTTTTTGGCAAAGCTGATGAGTCTTGTTGAGAATTGACAATCTTAACTCTTAGTTGTAATTAACTTGATTGGAAGGCTGAAAATATCAAATTTCTTCAACCAGAAATCGATTGAACACATTTGATAGCAGCAAATTAAAGACATCAACAATACAATTGCTACATCCTGTTAAGTTTTATCAGCCAGGTATTCTAAAGACTCATCATTGAATTGAACAAAAATAACTTGTAATCTAGCATTTGATAATTCGGATGACAACGTCTCTGAGTTATTATTCGAGTGACAAAGTTGAGCCTTGTAAAAGACGTTATAGTTAAATTAGTGATTATACCCGTCTTAAAGTTTATGTTGTACTAATGAACCTAAAGAATACGTGTCTAAACTGTTCTCGGTTATAAAAGATTCGGGCTTTATTGTTGCTCCATTTTTTTTTCCGATTTATTTGACTATTTTCTCCCCTGTTCCTAACTTTTCATGTTCATTGTTGTTTTCGTGTGAAGATTGATAAGAATAAATCATTGGCCTACTCAAAATGATCTCCTAATAGTCCTTATTATTCTAAGTGGTACAAACAAACCGAATAAAATTAGGCAAAAGAGCTTAACTTTAATCAATGGACTGATGAAGTTTAAGGTCATATTAGTACTTTAAACCATTAGCTTAGCTTACAATTGTACATAGGGAAATCTAAATTAAGATTCGGGCAGTGGCAAAGTGACCAAAGCTTACCCTTGTTTTTTTGCCCTTTTTCTTGATTTTGCTTTTGTTTATGCAAAGAAAAGTAGATTAGAGATTATGATGTCTCAATCTTTACTATTGTAAGACATTTGCACAAATGCCCATGCTTTTGATAAATTTACCAAATTTTTGACCGTTAAAACTGGTGGTAATTACTCGAGATTTAAACTTGGAATGACCAAAGAAATATTGATTGTAAAGAAAAAGTACTCGAGAGAAATCTATCCAAGACGTAAAGATAAATATGAAATAAGAATCTCACCGGACAGGTAATGTAACAGGTTTATTTACTTTTTCTCTCCATGTAAGACTCGAATAAAATCTTGTGGCCCATAAGATATCTCGATAGGAGATCAATCATACAGAAATAAGTATTCAACGAAAAGTCTATCTGAGACGTAAATATAAAATTAAATCCCACGAGTAATAGACTCTTTAACATGAGAGTTATTTCATGCACGAATTACATGTTTCGGAAAAGAAAAATGTTCATCAAGTTGATGGAATATTTGCCAGAAAGAAACCATTCAACTGCAAGAAGTTAATTTTCAAAGAAAGAAGTTACCCTTGATTCCTTATGTACTACCCTACTAACTTTATGCTTTAAAAGTTTGCAGCTTCTTTGTATGTGTTCTTCAAAGGAGATTTGCCAAATTGTGGTTCAAATACTCTTAACAATTAGTTTCTGTGATGGATAGTTCAGTACACAACTTTTTTTGTTTTTTAGTAAAAATAACAATTTGATTGGGTCAACTTACAACTCAAATAAGTGAATTGTTACAATTCAATGAAATTGATTAGGATAAATTTCAAAAAACCTATGCCCTGACCAATGAAATTGAACCCACTAAGGGTTTAACCGCACCTTTAGCAAAGAAATTGTGAATTATCCGGATCAAGTAGTCTTTAATAATCTTCGAACAATGAGAGTCAAACAGATTTGAGAATCCATCAATTTAACAGATAAGGGGCAATACAACCCCTAACCAAGGGCGTGGTTATGTCCAGATTAAGCTGCAATGTTTACCCATTTGATTCACAAATTTCTTTGATTAAATTGTAACTATATGCTATTATTTTGGCTACCCGATTCGGTAGCAATCTGCATTACTTTGGAAAAAAAAGTGTTCTAGAAATGTATGCGATCAAGTAAATTACTCTACAAATGAATGGATAGGATCAACTTAAAAAATAAAAAAATTTGTACCAATTACACATTTTGCCACCACTTTGTAGAAAATCATTAGGTATAAATATGTTACATACCTTTGACTTGTTGGTGAAATAGTATCTCTCTCCATAAAAAAACATGTTTTTTTTTACCGACTCACAAAAAAAATATTTTATTGTGAATGAACAAGACACCCTTTAGTTGCATTTGTACGGTGTAATGCTTTTACATTGGAATGGAATGAAGATTAGAATGAAAAGAATCTATAGAAATAGATTGGAATGTATATCACCATTACAATGTTTAGTTGCAACTAGGATCAAGTATTGAAATAAAATTAAAAATTCACTTAAATATTTAGATAATCCCCCCACCCGGACCCGACCCTTGACTTAAAATTAACCCTTGCAAGAAGATCCAAACAATGCCACGTATCCGAAGTTTGCATTGTAACCACAACACCAAAGTCATGGTGGTGATATGTCAATAAAATATTGTGCTCAAAATATAAACTGAAAGATGGAGAAAAAATTCAATGTTTTGATGGTATCATGTCATTATTGACTAATTATATCACTAACTAATAGGGTGTTAATCAAGACGAACAACTTAGACTCGACTCAAAAAAAACTCGACTCGAGCTTTGACTCGGATAAAACTCAGGTCGAGCTCGACTTGTATTCTAGATGAACTGTTTTTCTGAAAGACTCTTGTTAAGCTTATAAAATTTGACTTGTTTATATGTAAAATAATCGATCTATTCGGATTCAGCTCTGCTCGAGTTCTAAATGAGCCAGACTTTAATAATTTTTTATGTCAGGCTCAAGCACAAAGTCTAAGTTCACAAATTTCGGCTCGATTAACACCCCTATTAACCAATCACAAAATATGACGTGAACCTAATAAATTCTATTATTCTAGTAACTACCAATAACCACCATGTTAAATAACTTTTACATTAGAATAAAGATATTAATTTATCGTATATGATTTATTATTGGTTAATAAAATCACGTGTTAATGATGGCGTAATATCACCATCTTATGAAAGACAAACCTTTTGGATTTAAAAGCAAAGTGCCCCTAATTTCCTGTAAAGGCAAAACTGCTCAAAGTCTTCCCCTTTAACTTGATGGTTGAGATAATTATCTATTTTAAATTCTTCACCCAACAAAATTTGATTTATGCTTCTTCCCTAGTTTCTATGTTAGCCATATGCTTATGTAGACTGTAATAAGATAGCATTCATCTCATTTTACAGACCAGCATAAAAGGAGTCTAACTATGCTGTAGGAAAGCAAATGAAGAAGAATCAATTACAAGTAAAATAGATGTCAAGTCCCAAATTATAGTATTAGAGGATATGCCAATTTATTCAACATTGCAGCTTCCAAAAGACCATCAAAGTTTGAAATTGAGATGTACAATACATTTACATAACTTTTAGTCGAGTTTTATTGGTAATGATACATTGCAGGAATTTTTCAATTTTACTATATCCAAAACATCTCAATAAAAGAAACATGTCGACCACAGTAACTGGAGCCAGTTCGAAAACATGACAGTATAACCACATATACCTTTCCCTCAGTTTCATTACCTGGTAGTTTTTCTTACTGTTATTTCCTTCTTGAAAAAGCAGCCTTGCAGACAATGATATACTGCACTCTCTTACAATACCAATCTGCAAAATATGCGAGTAGCATTAGATTTCATCTGAACACCAGTATTTCTGCATCCCTTTTTAGAGGGAAAAGAGAAGAGAGGGGGTGTTGTGTGTGTGTTTTGGCCGCCCCGGGAGGGGGGGGGGCTGATAATTCCGGGAGTAAATTCCATCTCGCACATTGACCAATGATTGAATCAAGCATAAATCAGAATTTTCAAAAAAGATCGAAGTGGTCAAATCTATGTTCAGAGGAATGTAAATGATACAACCTTAACATTGCAACGAAAATTAGGGTAGTCTCAGAAAGCACAAATTAGCTGGTATATCATTTTGCATCCAATAAAAGATATGAAGTCTTACTATGTCACCCAAAACATACCGTTTACAGCTTCAGCATATCCGACTTCAATAATTAAACAGCATATAGACGTATAACCTGATCGATCTTGGCACGACAAACAGGGCAGCCCCACCTCTTCTCTTTAATTTCATTCAAACAAGACATGCATCCAGCCATGTGGCCGCATGGGATGCAAGCTCCCTCAACTGGAGCATCCAAACATATAACACATGATGAAGAAGTGCAGGTATCTTCCATTTTTTCATCTGCTCTGACAGGTGAAGTATCTAGAGTAAGGGAAGATAAGTCAACAGAGTTGGAATCAATTGTTGGACAATGAATTGGACCATCATCTAGAACAGCATCTGCGACAGGTGGAGCTGATGGAATTGAGGCTGGCATTGGGCTCTTGGGCATTGTATGGACAGCAGCTATGCCACTCTCAGTATGTACATACTGAGCTGGTTTGCTACTCGAACCAACCCCCTTGATTTCCCACTCACTGCTACTTCCTTTTGGAGCAAATGCTCCCATTACATTGCCCCCACTATGGGTGGTGATATCTACAGATTTAGTCCCACTGGTGGACACATTTGCTCCAGAGATTGGGTGGGTATCTAGATGAGGTGGCCTCTCTTGCATATAAGATTGAAGAGAGGCATTGATTGCCATTAGATATTCTACATCCTCTGCATTTGGTGGGGCAGTTGTTGGAACAACAGGAGCTTGGGTATTGAAAGGAAATGCCGTATGCATCACCTAAAATTTTAACAGGCATGTTAAGTTCCCTTTGTTTCATAAATAAAAGACTATTGAATAGCATATCTTATGGTCATTTTTGTTATTGTTGTTTGCACTGGCGGTGGTGGACGGTATGCCATGCAATCCCAAACCCACTTGGAGATGGGACAAACTCCTGCAAATGCCACCACGAACATGTGCAGATACTAAAAAGTGGCAACTCTCGACAGGGTCTGAGAAATCTGAAAGAAAAAAACTACTTTCCATGGGGGAAAAAAATTCAAGGTACTTAATTTCTTTGTAGATACATATTAAAATAAAGGAAATCCTTGTAACAGAGATCACGGTCATTGGAGCCATTGGTAATGTAGGAAAACAACCCATGCACTTGTCAGAACTGCTAATATGCTGTCCACCACAAAATCAGCACCCAGTCAAGTTGAATGTATGTTCTCCCGATATTTGGATTATATAAATACCGCAATTCAGGTGAAACAAAGTTTTTCTTCTTTTTTCTTTTTCCGGGAATCATTTATGCTATCACTAATGAGAAAAAACTGCAATAGTAATATGTGCACCACATAATCATGTACAGTACAAGTATATGCTTTATGCACAACAAACAGAAAAGAGAAGTAGCATCAGTAATAAGATGTTGTACCTGAGGAATTCCTTTGCATGCATTGCAAAATCGTTGCAGTTGTTGTTTGTCGTTTTCACTAGCAGCTGCAAGTTTAATGCGTGTATCTGTAATTGAAACAAACAAAGTTCAGATGTATTCATCTCGTAACACACCCATTCTGAATTTTTTTGATGAATTTATTTCTCAAAAGTCATGCAGAAAATCATTATTTCCCAGCTCACACAGATGAGCTAAGCTTGTATGACCATTTTAACTTATGAGGAAAGAGAGCTGAAAAGTAGGCACATCTCCCAGTTTCAACATGTTACATTGTGGGATTTGATGAGTTCTTCAGGTAAAAAATAATTTCGTTGTATATTAGTCTCACGGAACAAGGATCATCTGCAGGCATGGTTTAAGATAATCTCTAAGGGTGATTCGGTAAAGTCTCAAATGCCAACAACTCAGCTTGAAGTGGAGCACTCTTAAAGGATACCACATACATGCCATGAGTTGAACTATAGCCCATATTATACATACCGTGCATGAATCTTCACCAATAAAAAGGTTCTTGCATCTATCTACAAGCTCCAAAATAAGATTTGGCATAAATTTTTATCACTATGATTCCATGTAGTGATCTCTCTCTCTTTCACACAGACACGCACACGTGCACACAGACATACATACGGGTTGAGCTTGGATAGCTCATTAGTTAAGAGCAAATAACATGTTAGGCCTGATTTTTAGAAACTCATGATTTTTGTGTAAAATGCACAAAAGATCGTGCCAGCTTCCCAATTTTTAAAAATCGATTCTCTGATATTTCAAGAGAACAACCACATGGTCATTAGACTTGTCACCATTATGGCCATTGTCTTTTAGATTAGTAGCTTTTTGATCGAAGTCCCTCAAGGCTATTGTGAAACAAGAACTTCAGCTACAAGCATCAGCCTTGGCATGATGAAGAAATTCAGAACTATGAGCTATATATAAGCAAAGATTGACTGACATTTACTGAGCATACAAGCGACAAGATCGTTTTCTCAATGGGCTCAGTTCTAATGCCCAAACTTGACTCCATTAAGAAATTGATCGAATCAAACTCAAGTAGATCAACTCATTTCACTGCCCTACCCCACCAACACCACCCCTCTCCTGGACCTTTAAATCTATCTGCAGGCAGTTTTTGAACAAAAAACAAAAAAAAGTTTCAGGGTAAAGCTCTCAATGCAATAAAGATGAACAAATTTTAGCCAATCAGCTATTGAATTTGTATTTTACATTTTCTTCAAGCCTTTGAATTATTTGAATATATTTTAAGATATGGATGGTCAAAAATATAATGTACTTACGCCTAACTCCTCGAGACTTACACCTTGCCTCTCGGGAGGATAAAATACCTCGCTTCCGCCTCCAGTGTCTTGGGACTATGCATGAAGAGAAAAAGCAATTAAGGTATATCTATGTGTATATATATGCATTCCAAGTAACAATAGTTATATCTGCTCCAAATAATTGAGAATTTACTGGTGGAATTGTCTGAAATGATCACTGTCGGATCAGGCTGGTTAAATTTTGGTTCCTCCATGTTTGCCTTCCACAGTGGAATAAGTGTGCGAAGTTTGGCATCCTGTTGATTCATCAAATGTTCTGTGAGAGCTAAAAAGTATGGCAGTAGGACGCAATGATATTCCAAGCAGCAAGCACAAAATAAGACAATCTAAGTTTGCAAGCACTCACTTGTTATGCTCACTTAATATAGATGAAAGTGTCATTTTAGATAGTTTGTCCAAGAGAGAGAGAGAGAGAGAGAGAGAGAGCTTTGACATGTGGACAGTAGATCAACTATTGATTGATTAAGGCATCTGTTGAAGGTGCCAATAGAACAAGAGGGAGACCAAAAACACTGGGTTGGGATTGTGAAGGAATATGATTTAAAACAAGGTACTCATGACCTGATAAAAAAGAAATTTTTTTAGTGACAAATAGGCAACTGAAAATATCCTTTGATAAATCCAGCGATCACATGGAATCAAGGATCAAAATATATTTTCAAAATGGTCAAAACATCCGAAACGTTTCCGTTTCTAAGGAGACCAAAATAAATCAGTGATAGAATTAAAATTCTAATACTTCGAAGTGTTCCATTATATTTTAAAATATTTTGTTATATTTCAATGCATTTATACAATTATTTCGAAATGTTTCAAGATAATTCAAGATAAGTTGGTATATTTTGACCAATGTTTTGAAAAAAATAAATTTCTATATATATATATATATTTTTTTTTTTCAATCTGTTTTCGAAACGGGTTGAAACGTTTCCGAAATATGTCGAAACGGAAACGTTTCGTAGGTGACCGAAACAATGCACCGAAATGAAATTTTGATCCTTGCATGGAATCCAATAGAAACATGAATACAGAGTATCAAATGCTGATCAATCAAAGTGAGATTCAATAACTAAAAAAACAATTCCTTTTTTAAAATAAGAACCAAAAGAGTGAGATTCAACAACTAAAAAACCAATTCCTTTTTTAAAATAAGAACCAAAAGACCATTCCTAGGACCTTGTTTTCTTCACTAACAGAGAAATGAGGATTCAGAACGAATTAATACCTTATTTGACATAATACACATGGACACCTATAGTAATTATTTGGTTTACTCCTCAATTAATGGAGGGTATAGAGAGGGATTGATGGGAATCAGATTGTTTTCGATCAGGGATGGACTGGTAAAAGAGTTAATTTTTTGCAAAACTTGCCCAAAGTGACTACCCTCGGGTTTGAACACAAGTTCATGGTTGTTAATCTCAACATTTTACACTGCATAGAGCAACATTTGAACCACCTAACTTCCGCAAGATATTAAAGAAGTTGTAAAAAATCATCAAGACTTATTTGTTTACTGTGACAGATGCTAAAATTTCATCTGATATTGTTAAAGAATCAACATAACATTACTTTTGTCCATTCTAGGCTTCTAAAAATTGAGAAATTTCTTACATTCAATCCAGTTATATTTCCAAATGACATACCTCATCATTCCAATGATCTTAGCCTCCAGCTAGCATGTGATACTACTCAGTACACTACAGATTACTGAAGGTACATAACATTTACATCAAGCTGACAATCAATCTAGACACGACAACAAATCGTGATACTGATGACAACCAATCATGTGCTGTTGTGGAAACCTAGTGAGGAGAAGCATAAAAGCATCAAGGAGTCGGTCTTTCATTTCTTTTTCTTCTACTTTTCTGCTACTTTTACTTCTGCTTCTTTTTCTTCTCTCTCGTGTCAATACTCACAAATGACTTAAATCACTCCTAATTTCATTCCCAGTGTCCGAACTCCCCTTTACCCATCCTCCACCTTTGGCTCTCAACTTGACATAAAAATCATCAAAAGAATTGTGTCCAAAAATTCTAACATTGTTCTTCTGAGTTCCCCAATGCCTTCTAGCTACTACTTCCAAAACCAAGCTAATTCTAACATATTGCATCCATAAGTCTACAAATCCCTCCTTCAATTTTAAATACTGACCTTATAAGCTTTCCGCTATTAAAAGCCACCAAAAAATTAGGGCTGCAAACCAGGCTTTCAATGGGCCTAGGCAGCTTTTTTTCAAAATTCAGGGTGGGCTTGGGTTGAAAAACTCAAGGAGCAGAACCCATACTCTCTCTCTCTCTCTCTCTCTCTCTCTCACACACACACACACACAGATTTGGGATTGTTGCGCTTTTCCCCTGCATATACATTATTTTGTCGAAACATTTGTGAATTGAAAAATAGCTAGATTTTTAACTATATCCAGTTGCGAATGAATATTTCAAACTCCATTGTATGTTTATCCCAAGGATTTTTATGGGGAATCTTGCCTTAACAAACATAAGAACGAGCTGAGCACGTGAACAGTGGCTTGGATTGAGCTTGGGCTAGGTTATCTCAGTCCAGTCATTAGATTACATTTGGCTCAAGCAGACCCTGCCAATTCTTGCCTTGGACCTAGGTTTCTGACTACAGGCTTGAACTAACCTGCTTGAGTGGCAGCCTAGTCAGAATTTTCCAAGTTTCCTGAAGTTGTCTTCAACCTGCCTGAGAGGCAGCGTAGGCAGAATTTTTTGAAGTTTCCTGAAGTTGTCCTAAACCTGCCTGAGAGGCTGATGTAAATCGTACTAGCGCTAATACCAAATTGATGTAGATCGTGGTAAGGAAGAATTAGGAACGAGAAGGGAAGAAGAAGGGGATGAGAATAGAGCGAGAATTTGAGGAATCAATAATCAAAATCTAGTCTCACAACAAATATGTATCCCCTATATATATAAGGAGTTCACAAATCCTATATATATAAGAAGATCACAAACCCTAAAATAAATAAATAATCATAATGACAACTAAACCCTTAAAAGTTAAAAGAAAATACTTAAAAGATAAATACTAAATTACTTTCATGATTAATCTAAAATATCTATCCAATTCCTACAATGACAACTAAACCCTTAAAAGTTAAAAGAAAATACTTAAAAGATAAATACTAAATTACTCTTATGATTAATCTAAAATATCTATCCAATTCCTACACGATCCCCATCAGAGGCAACCTAGGTAGAATGTTAAGCAAATGAACACCTGATGAGATACATTTAACATAATCATGGAGGTTGGAAACAAGAGGAACCGTGATGGACATGAAGTGAGGAATCTTTCACCAGAATTCCTAGAAAAAGCCCAACAGTTGCTACTGAGTAACTTTGTAACATAGTAGATCTGAACTCTAACTGGAGCTAATTCTCAAGTAACACTACAACAGAGTCTAAAGTCAAGTAGTGACTGTAGACAGAAGTTGAGGAAAGAAATTTGAATATAAAAGCAAATTCACGAAATTAGCTAACTTTTTGGTTGTGAAAAATTAGACAGCAAAATACCTGAAAATTATTATATATAGCAAGCTCCAATTTGAATGGCTTAGTGGGAATACGGGAACCACATGGTAAAACAACCACCCAACTGCAAACAATAACATGTATATTTAGCATAGAAGTCAATTGTATAAACACACTTCAAAAAGGAACAAATGAACATAATACCCACACTTTTCTTGAAAGAAACTGAGGAGCAAGTAATTCGAGAAAGCTTGGCCCGTAAAGCTCCCGCAACCAACCAGAGAACAAGCAGAGATGGCTCTAAGCAGCATCAAAAACATAATAAGCACATATTGTTATGCAACTATAAAATGAAAAATATAAATACTTTTCCATCTTACAAACTTTATCGTATAATCAAATGAAGTAAAGCCTTTATAAGTTACCTCAATTGCACGGACAATATTGCCATATGCTCTAACTCTAGCAACATCAAGTGGAGTTTGACCGTCATCATTCGTCACTAATGCATTTGCTGGAAAATTCATGAAAAAAAAAAAATCAAGTAAACTACTGTTAAAAGTGGGAAAGGACCATTTTTTGTTGCTGCTAAAAGATTAATGACGCGATCTTTTCCTAATATGATTACTGTACACGCACCTCCATTTGCAAGAAGTAATTTCACAGTCTGTTCAAGGCCCCTTTTTGCTGCATGATGTAAAGGAGTCCCACCGAAGCGGCCTAAAAAATTTCAGAGAAATTTTTAGTGGGAGAAAACACAAGTAAGATGCACAATTTAACAACTAAAATAGGAACCAGATAGAAAGATTAAATGTCATAGAGCTATATGTAATAATCAAGCATGAGAAAAAAATGGATTGATCAGTATTTTTCATGTTTTCGCATATATATCAATCAGGGTGCCAAACTCCAACTGCATTCAAAGATAATGTCAACAGGTCACCTTCATCTACAAGTCTGACTACTATTCTATTACTCGCACTATAACGTAGCCAGAGACTATAGTTGACATGGGGGGAGAGAGAGAGAGAGAGTGATTTTTCCTGACAAAAAAAACTTGAAAATGCAACAATCTTTCTACTGCCTTTTGAGATCAAATTGGTCCACTTCTCAGGAATTTTGAAAATCAACATAGAATCTCTCTTTTCGGAAGCATACCGTTCGTTCCATCATGTCATGATAAAGGCCCTTACCATTCCATCCTGCTATGCATTCAACACTCCCAAATTTGGAAATGCAAACTAAAACTTCAATGGTAAAGGAAGTATGCCAAACGGAAAGGAATAACCAATCGATGAAAGAACATGAAACCATTACATTTCAATAGAGGTACGAGAAATGGTTGAGGGCAATGAAGTAGGTGAAGTGGTTGGATTTTGCAAGCTGTTCCAACCACTGCTTGATGTGATTCCAAGAGCCGAACGAGAATGAATACCACACATAAGAGTCAAGACCTGACTTCCTAATGGAATGTTTAACTGATCCATTCCAGATTGATCAAATTGGTACGGAAGTTGTAACATGGGAAAACATTAAGAGGTCCAGCTTGAGCTGGGTCTTGAGGATACGCTTGGAATCAAGCACAAAAAGGATTCTGATTTCGAAATGGCAATTGCAAAAGCATTTTTGTAAAAGAAAGAAATTTCACCTCTTCTGCCTTTCTAGGCTTCACAATACCTCTCCCTAATGGTCGACCCTTTGAGTGTGGATGAAAAGTTGGTTTATTGACATTGATACTTTAAGCATGCGCCAAGCGATTAGGTTACCATCGAAGAGTTCTTTGAGACTTATCTATTAAATCAAACCTAGCCTACACCCTATGACACAGAGTTACATGAAGAATCATCACTTTCCACTAGGCTGACTTCTCTAAACTAGACCCAGAATCCCAAATTTAATATCCCTATTTTTTCCAAGAATACCATCAAATATCATTCATACCATCAATTGTCCCCTTGAAAAATCAATCAATGGGAAAATAAATAAAGAAGTTAAAACCCACTCAAAATATTCTTAAGAAGAGTCACTCTACCCATATACATACCCCGACTGTATGCATTAAAATTGGCACCCAATTCTATCAAAGTCTTGGCAACATTATTAAGCTCCGGAGTCATGCAAGCCGCAATCAGTGGAGTCTTCCCTTCTCTATCCGTCCACTGCACCAAAAATCACCACGCAACAATACTTATTCAATTTTCCACCACAATAATTCATTCATAAACCCACCAAAAAGCTCCTAGACAACACAATCCTGGAAAATTGCCACACACACACATATTATACATACATATCTATATGTTAGAGAGAGTGAGAGAGACAGAGAGAGATTGAAGATTGAAATTTTTGGGTACCTCGAGGCCAGCACCTTGGGAGTGAAGAGCTTTGATGCCTTCTATGTCACCGTGGTTGACTTGCTTATACAGCGACTCCTCTTTCGATTGTTGTAGCCCCATCGAAACCTAGCCGACGGTTCCCCCAAGTATGACCCTAAGATCGAAGGAAGGAGAAGTAATCAATATATAGGAGAAAATTTTCCCGGAAAATGAAAATTTTCTAAAGAAAGAATTGAGAGAGTTTTCTTTGTATACAAGGTAATCTAGATGATCTAACTTTTGAAGCTTTCAATGCATAACGGTCAACTGGATCGAAGTGGACGCGTAGGCTCAGAAATCAGGTGCTTTGCAGACCACGGAAAATAAGGAAGGAAGGATGATATAGAACGCCAGTCAATTATATTGGGTGGATTCGTATCGGGGGCTGTTATTCAAATTCAACTACCGGTTTGGTTTGACTTTTGCTCCTTCAAACTCAATTCGTTTTTTAAACGGACGTAAATTTGAACAAATTTTTAAATTCGTTTAAAAAATAAATTTTATAAATTCGACTCATTTGTGTGCAAATACTCGGACTCAGCTTGACCTCGACTTATTTTTAACTCGTTCAGATTCGACTTGTTTTCTAAATGAGTCAACTTTGAATAATTTTATTAGCTTGATTAAGAAATAAATTTTTCAATCTCGACTCAGCTCAGACTTATTCGACTAACAACCCCATTTGTATCTAACGAGTTCTATCATGTTGGATTTATATTATGTATAATTATATATAAATGAGTTGTATCATATAATATATTTCTTTTGATTTGTTTCATCCACAAACAATTTATTTATTAATTATGTCATATCAGGTCCATTTATTTACAATACGAGTGACTTTAAAAAAACACAAATTTTTTAACTTCGTGTTACGATTTGTATCATATTTTAACACTCTTCATATAAATACTCGAACAAATAGTAAATAATTAGAGTTATCTATCTATTTGACTTTTGAACTATATAATTTTTGTTAATTAAGTCCCTGAATTATGATTTGTGTCAATTTAACCTTTAAACTATATTATTTACATCAATGTGACCCTTTCCGTATAAATTTGTGGTTAACTTTGATGGAATTTCTCACGTGCCCATCACGTGAGTCAGGGATTAGAGTATAATTTAAATTTAGGGGCCAAATTGACACAAAATATAATTTAGATGCTTGATCAACACAAATAGTATAATTCAAATGTCAAATAGATAATTAAAGATACATTTAATAATATTATATTATTTTTTTGTTTTTTTAGTACCGTAGTCAAACTCCCGAGAAATAAAGTGGTCTGAACAAATTGGATTTCAGGTGTTTTTTCTGATCCAGTGGATGGGGTAGACTTTTAAAATTACTAGGATGCCCTTTGGTTATAAGCAAACCGAGGTAGGAAAGAATGGGAGTGAAATGAAACCAAAAAAATAGTTGGAGAGTTGAGTGGGGCTAAAAAAAGGTTATGTGTGATTATTTAAAAATAAATAAATGTTTATAGTAATATTTTGTAAGCGAGAATAGTTAGGCGGTGATAAAAAAAGGGTTATAAGTGATCGTTTGAAAAGAAATGAATGATAGAATAAATATGTCGTGAAATGAACGTCAAAACTCATCAATTCTGTTTATAATGCTAATAGATTACAATGAACTTCATCCGCTTTGGCATATTTTCTTTATGATGCAGAGAACTATGGACACATAACAATGCAAAATGTGTTCACTAGAAGTACAGTTTGTGATCATAGAATATTAGAAGAATTATTGGGTTTCAAGGTAACTTTATGGTTCCTAGATTTGCATTATAGGCAGTTTTCCTTTTTCTTCTTTCTTAATTTGTATGGTGGGTATGAGCTTCCCACCCACCACCCACCACCCATCTGCCCAACCCCACATTTATTGAAGGAGGAACAACAATGTATTGCAGGTATTACAAACAATGAAAACGTTTCGAAAATATTTCAGATAAGTCTTAAAACACAAAAATAGATTCAAAGAAAGAAAAATAAAATCTGTTTAAGAAATGTTGGCCAATACGTATGACAACATCCCGAAAACACTTTGAAATATTTTGAAGTGCCTCAAAACATGGGAATTCACTTGTTGATTTCTTATTGTTTTCAACCAAATTGAAACGTTTTGGACATTTTCGATGGAAATTAAATAAAATTTAGATCCATGTGTGCCATGTACTTACTTTTTTTGTTGATAAAAATGGAAGATTAAGAAATATGCAGTTTTAAAAGTTGTATTTACATTCATACATGAATTATATCTAAAGCAGCAGATCTGACTTATCTCTCCTGCACTTTGTTACATTAAAAAAAATTCATGATGGGAATTTCATAATCTGCTGTACCAGTACAATGGTAACTACCAGATACTGAGAATACAACAGTACAGGAAATCAAAGAACCAACTGATTAAAAATCTATGTGTTACTTGTTCTGCTTCTGGTCATGTAATCTTGATATTGGTACTGCTCTTTCTACTTTGAAACTGAGAAAGAATTCTTTTGCTTTATCCATCGCAGAGCTGATCCTTCATCCTACATACAAAAATTCATGCATTTGATTGCAAGACCTAAACTAACAAACTATTCTACGAGGAGGGTGCTGCCTCGGCATTTTCCTCAGCAGGTGTTGGAGCCCCAGATGGTCTGGTTGGGGTGCTGGTTAACTTGGTTAGGCTGTACTTTTTAAGCAGCCGATCTTTATTATCCTTCCACCATTCTTCTGCCTGTTGCTCTGCAAACCTTCGTTTGCTGTAGCAATATTGACACATTTCAGTGAGATACAAAAACATTTGGGAGGACAACAAAGTTCTTTTTAAACAAGCTGGTTTCCATCAATTTTTGTAGCTACATATAGATTCCCGATCACTCACTACATTTAATGGATTTGCTGCTAATGCTGTTAGGTATGCTTCATGAAAATTAGCACTTGTCACGTGCATGAATAATGCATTTGACGATTGCATAGTGTTCATGAGAATGAAGGAAGCATGCAAATATAAACATTTACTTGATCTCCCTGCAAATAGGTATAGGATTTTGTGAGCAATTGTCTTAAAATTTAATTAAGTGGTTGCTAAGATGGCAACTGATCAACTCCAAGATAAATTCACATCTGAAATATGAAGAAGAACCAAAATTGGCAGATGTGGAAAACGTTGAGAGTTGTTGGTGAAGTTATATTTTACGAAAGATCTGAGGTGGGAGTTCTAGGGTTGATAAAATCAAGGTTGAAAGGAAAACTCACCTATCAACTTGTGCAAATTTCATCCGTATATGCAAACATGTTTTTTATATGACAGTTTGTATTTGTGTGCATGACTTGTGAAAGCTTTAAAAGATTTTCATAAAAGAAGAGCAGAGTAAGCCATCTAGTGAAGTACCTGAATCTAACTCGCTTGAAGATCTTGGTATTATCTCCAAGTTGAATGAAAGTTACATAAACACCTGGTTCAAATTGTTCAATGACTTCTTTTTTTCCCCCAGTATTTGCTACTTTAGGTGATCTTGAATCACTTTCAGAGTGTTGAGGGGTAGCTTCAAGAGATTGCCCATTGCTGTTCTGTGGCGTACCTTCACCATCCTTTGATAAGTCTTGGAATCTACCAGCATGTACATGGTCCTCCATCCTGTTAGCTAACATACCGACTGATGAAGTGTTTTGAGGCAGATTTTGTTGGTCAGATACCAACTCTGATGGCAAAGAAGAATGGTCTTCAGATGCTTCAGTTAAATTGGTATTCAGAAACATTTCAACTTGAGCACGCAGAGCTTTAAAGGTTTCACATTCTGGGATCTCAGGTGGCAACTTCTCTGTCATTTCCTTCAGCTGCATAACATTAAAAAAAAAACCACAGATAACAGGCTTATAGTGCAATTTCCTTTTTCGCTGGAGTAGAAGAGATCCAAACTTCATCTTATATCATTTTTGTCTAGTCATGATAGGATAATCATGCCATGAAGGATTTGTATATGAAAAGGGACCTGGGTACCGTAAGTAGACGTGGACAAATAAAACAGGACTGATGAATCAATGGAAGTTAATATTATATCATTTTAATCTTCTTTAACATTAAGGACTCAATCATAATGGACATTTTGGTTCATAATAATGGATATTCATGCATGTTAGCAGTGAAAAGTCAGAAAAACATGCATACACACACATACATCATGTATATACTTGCAGCCCTATGTATGTATGTAGGGGCCATTGCAGGTGTAGTGGTAAAACTCTGGCTAATGACCTAATGATAAGGACATGGTGAGTATGACAGCAGCTGCCGTGCATTTAATGCTGACGGCTAGACTCATTCCACCTCTCCTAGCACTCACAATGTTGGAGACCAAAATAGGTAATGGCCTCTTAAGTATGTCCATGCATTTGTGCTATTCCATCATATATAACCTAATGGCAACTGCGTTGAGCACTTTTAGAAGGCTGCGTTCAGCTATATTTTCTGGACATTAATGAAATCAACAGAATCTTGGTGGAAATATTATGCTATTCGTTGCCTTGGAATTCATGTGTTTTATTTAGGAATTTGAAGTTGATGTCATAATTTCACAACATTGCGCCCTCATAATTGCCCCTAAATACAACATGCTTAATGCAAGTACACTCTTAAATGTTAGTCATAAACATATGGGAAAGCTGTAGTGGTCATAAATAGATGAAAAGAGGGAACCAGAATACCTGAGCTGTGATGGACTTGACAAGTTCTATAGCAACAGAACACTTGGAAGATTTGTCTGCAGCCAAAGAAGCAGCCTCTTGAGAATTGTTTTGTAATTTTTGAATCTCTGCATCTTGGACTTCATTTTTCTGCTTTAAGCTTTTAATCTACACGTATAAAAGAAGGGGAAACAAATAACTCTTAGAATAAGCCAGCTTCTAACACAACCAAGCTCGTTACTTCAGCAAAAGGAAAACTTTATTACTTGGTTTTGCAGTTTGGAAACTTCCTGATTCAAAAGCTCATTTGTCTTCTTCAGACTATCAATGACACCCCTAGAAAATATTGGAGTTGCAGAACGTGGGGGACTCGGCCTCCTTGAGTATGGCGAAGCAGGTCTTGAAGAGGATGAAGGCAGAGGATGAGGCTGAAGCTGCGGCTGAGGATGAGATTGAAGCTGCGGCTGAGACTGAGGGGTTGTTATAACAGGCTTCAGAGCATATTGAAGAGCACTAAGTGAACTAGGAAATGCAATGTCTTTAAGTTGTGAAAGTGACGGTACTTGGGAAGCTCTCACTATAGAATAAGAATCAGATTTGGTCCCAGGCATTGCAGACTTGACCTCAAGGTATTTTATTGGTTCTGAAGTGGGTGAGAGCAGAATTCTTGAAGTCCTTGTCCCTACCCTGTCTAGCCTAGTACTACTGTCTATGGAACGATGAGGTGAAGTCACTTTCCTATTAAAAGTTGGGGTGTTACAAGCCTCAGCAGCCTTTTTAAGTTTCATATAGCAAGAGTCACAGACACGATGTGGTTTTCCAGGAGTTGGAGCCAATGCTGCTTTTAATGCTTTTCTGGAACTGCAAGCATGGCAATGCACAAGTCCACAGTTATAGCAGTTATGCCTCTTTCTAGTGAAACCAAATGCTTGTCGACAACCAGAACAAACAGATTGATCAGCTCCAGAGACCCATTTATGAATGCATATACTTGCAGTGTAATTTGAGCCACATGCTATGTTTTTCACGTGCCTATCTTTTAGTGCTTCAACCAAAGTTGGAATATTCCGATCTTCTGTGTCCCCGTGTCCCAATCTTCCATTGGCACCTCTGCCCCAAGTGAATACTTCACTTCTTGAGGTCAGGACAGCTACATGACACGCACCACATGCTATTTCTTCAACAAACTCACCCACCAATCTATCTTGTACTAGGCAAGGTAACTTCCCATCATATTGAGGATTGCCCAGTTGACCATATGCTGTGCTGCCCATGGTGAAGACATGGCCAGATGTTGTAAGGACAATGGTAATGTTGTGGCCGCAAGCCAGCTGATGGAAGTTATAGTCAATAAGTGCAGAGACACATGTTGGAAGCAGGTAAGTGTCCTTGTTACCATGGCCCAGTCGGTTTTTATCACCATCACCCCATGTGAACAACTTTCTAGATGAAATATTTGCATTAGACTGGTTTGCGACCTCTACAATGGCTGCAGTGTGCCATAGTCCACATGCAATCTTTATAGTGTTCAGTCCACTCAATAATTGTACTTCCCTGGGATATGGAACACTTTCTCGATCGCCATGGCCTAAAACACCAAATGTTCCATCACCAAATGTGAATAACTTTCCACCAGAAGTTGTCAATGCTGAATGCCACGTCCCACATGCCACTGATAGAACTTGAAGTCCTTCTAAAGGACCTGAAACCCTTTTTGGTATCCAGTGGCTAACATCACAGCCATGACCAAGAAGTCCAGCATTATGGGTACCATCACCCCAGGTATATAAATCACCAGATGTAGATACAGCACATGTATGATACTCACCGCATGCGACAAAATCCACATTGGAAACTGCCAGAAATTCAACAAGATGAGGGCGACTGAAGTCTTTTTCAGTTCCATGACCGAGTCTGCCTCCAGATTCCTCTCCCCAGGTGAAAACCTCACCTTGCCTGGTAACAAGAGCAACATGTCGGACACCACAAGCAATTTGGTGAACATCAAGAACAACATTTGACTCCAAGGGCCTAGGAGTAAGCACATCAGTTTTTGTAGCAATTGGAATCCCAGATCCATCAATTGCAACTCCATCAGACCAAACCTGTCCCCAGACATACACATCACCCAATGATTCTATGTCATCTGGTCCAGAACCTTGACTTGAACAACTAGGAGTGCTTGAGACACTAATTCGGAAACCATCTGAAGTGCTTGTTCTCACTTGCATATTTGCTCGTTCAGACCCCACATCTGAGCTCGGCAAATACAAAGAAGTTCCACGAGAACCAAAATCAACAGAAACCTTGCCGCGTGGAATACTAGGAGTGAACTCTAGACTTGCACCAGATGGACGCCCGTTTTGAACAAAATCACTACCACCGTCATGTAACTACAAAACAAACATGAAAAAACTGATTCACTTAATTGGAAAATTACTCACCCCATAAATATTTATTTGTATTGAGTACATATATGGTAAACTCACTAAGTCATGACTACATAAACAAGGAATTGATTTGGACTGTGTTATGTGGAACTTTAAATTTAAACAAAGAAACTGGTAGATAACCTAGTAATTTGATCGCAATTAGGTACAGATATCGGCAATTGTCTAAAAGATTATGGAACTAGTCACGAAATAATATAATTCATCAGCTGAATATAAATCGGTAATTTTACAGTTTCCATGTTCAAAAGGCAAAATCACACTAGCCTACATGGGGGGAAGACGAACAATATCAAATCTAAAACCATTGAGGAAACTTTTAATTAATTTATGAAGCATGAGTAACCCAATTCATGTTGTATCAACTATTGAACATATACTTAGGGAATAGAATCACTAAATTGAAGCTCTTTTCCTACCCTGTTAATATTTTGGATTTCCTAAATTTTCCATTCCACGCAAATACTTGTTTAAATCTCCAAATCATTTACAGATACATTGTCCATCCACTACTACTTTCCATGATTAATTAAAGAATAGTAATGGACATTTAGCCACCTTAGTGAACTGAATTCTCATATGACTTCTTCATAGAAAGCATCCTAATACACTGGGATGTTGAAGAGAGTGCATAGTCCTATTCATAATGACATTACAGAGTATGGAAAACAGGTAGCCGCTTTTAAGAGGAAGTATTAAAGATAGAACTTCTAGTGGCATGCCTTTTTCAATAATATTAAACAGAGACATTGTTATTATCAATCAAATCCAAAATTCTAGCTCTGACCCCCAGAAATACACACCACTGAAGGCAGAAAGAACCATTAAAGTAAAAACCAGACAGATTGTTCTCAGAAAAATATGAAATGCATCAAGGAAAATGATTGATCATGTCAAGGATTAGTTTCAAATGAGAAATTTACATCAGAAATGTCACTCCGAGTACGTCTACTATGACTTTGACCGGTGGGGATTAAAGCTTTCAAGCCTGAAAGCCACACCTCTGCCTCAACTTTGTCCTTGCAAATCTATGGAGTGCAAACAATTAAAGGTAATCAATCGACTTAAACTCGTCCTCACCAAAGTTCAAATCGTCTGAATAGTATTATAGTTAAAATTGTTGAATGTCACTGACCAGATCAAGAGATCTTTCTCCTTGATTATATAAGAGCGAAAACGACAAGTACTCCTTCTCAGGACGCAAATATCTTCTAAACACAGCCTGCAGGTGACACAGTTGACAGGTAAAATTCTACTTGAAATTTTATCTACACAATTGCTGAACACATTTGAAAACTATCATGTTATATGAATTTCAAGCATACAATGATTAATTCACCCTTAGAAAAATTCCAAACTCACGGTTCTCTGCCCAGGGATAATTCGTGAAACAGAAGACAACTTCAGATTCCTTTCTGCTTCATGGGAATACCAGATCAATGTTGTTTCATCCTGTAAATATCAGCAAATGCTAAGAATTGATACATATCAAACTATTTCCTTTCATATCATGTTTTCCTATGAATGAAAAGATGAATATAGTATTCATTATAAAAATATAGGAATCTTAGTGCCTGTCCTTACTATTGAATTTCCAAATAAATTTATGCTATGTACCAAATGTAGGCATGCTTTTTGGTGTACAAGCCACCAAGTTTTTCACACAAGAGATAGGGTAGTATATAAAATAAAAATTTAATCAGGTGCAGAGAAACTGTATAAATGATTATCTCAAATCTTCTAGATGTCATCATTTGCAAGACATTTTCCCATAAAATGTGCATCCTGATAGCCATGTTTCATTATACTCTCTTCCACATACAACTTCCAGATAACCACTACAATAGTGTAGAAGAACTTCAGTATCTCAGTCTAGGAGAATAAAATACAACTTACCGGAGAAACTCTGAATGGACAAAACTTAGGTTTTCCCTTCCGGCTGTACTTGATTAACTGGGTACCTTTTTTCAGTGCAATGAGTGCCTTCGAAAGCAGAAATATAACACATCAACGTAAATAAATACACACATCATATTAACTAGATTTCAATGAACAGACAGAAAAAGTATGTCGTAATTTCAAAATTTTCAGTGTACATGTAAAAAGCATAAAGGGAGAATCCTCGTACATTAACTTGAAGCACTAACATGAAGAAGGGAATTCTTTAACACAATTGTTGGACAAAATGTCGCAAACTTTGCAAGGCAAAGCAAAAGCCATGTAATTGCATAAAAAACGTACTCTATTGAAGGTAATTCAATATTCAACTTCCAAGAGGCCGCAGGCAATAGATACGAACAAATCTACAATTTCTGCTCACATCTCTGGGATAAAGTTCGTAAGCTAGTCATCTCACGTTTTTTTCTTACCACTTCAGGAATTGTTCTTTTCATTTCTTTTCCTCAGTTGGTTCTAATCTCCTATAGTCATTAACAAAAGAAGTATTCCAAGATCTTCTAAAATTTATTTAACAATGATCAAGTAGACCAAGGTACCCTACACTTTGACACAGCAATTAAAGTGCAGCCAATTTTCCTTCAAGTTTTCAAACTATTTCAGTTCAGCCATAAAAGTTAGCCATTGATCTCTCTAATGAGAATTACATACCAAAATTGTCTGTTATCTCCCCTACTTTCTCTTACTTCTAAGTGGACTAGAACCTTGCATATACCTTGCCCCTCACCCTTACTGAAAGCTAACAAAATTCCTAGGATGGGGAGGTTTGAATAGCAAAATGCGTAGCTACGGAGACTATATATTTGGATGATTTGATGTCTTAGTCTTGTGGAAACTTCAGTCACTGTGTACCAGGCACAAGGGTTCAAAACTCATCATCTAGCACATATAAGGGTTCAAAATCATCCTCTCTTAAATGTGGAAGACATATAGATAACTTTAGTCTTTAAGGGTAGTTCAAGTGGTAATATAGACAGATTGACCCAGATATCTTGAGTTCGAATTTTGACAACCCTTTGGGGCCGGGCCAAGAGGGATTTATTTCCGTGAATACCTTAGTCATGATGAGGATGGTCCGCTTTAACCTGGAGAGGGAATTAGTCGAGGTGTGCGTAAGTTAGCCTGAACACCCTTTACCGTTGAACCAAAACAAAGGAAGACATACAGATTACAATTGCTCAATTCGGCACTAACAATTCCTCTTTTTAAACACCATCATTCTAACACCGAATCATGATCGTTGTATAAGTTCTTTTGTGGGGGTGAATTCAGCACATTAAAGGGTAATTTTGCTTGAAATCCGTAACCATACCAGAACAAAGGGGTGGAATAATATACTAAAATAGTAAAATTCACTACACTAACACATAATTTTTCCAGGAAATTTTCTCATAATACTTCGTGTTAAAAAATTGTGTGATTTTGAGATTTTTGTTTTTTGAATATTCCTTACAATTTGTATAGAAAAAATAGACTGACCTGCTCAATGTCACGGTCAGGATTGCCATAACTAGCAGGATCTGCCATTCCATCTGAAACAAATCTTGTGAAGCCGCCGAAGAAGCGTTTTTTGTCCCAACCATCCGCATAGTCTTCATAGATGCCGATACAATCTGTTTTGGCCTATCATCAACTTCCCCAAAAAAAGCTTCAAGAATAGAAAAAGAATGAAGGTAAATAATAAGATAAAATTATCAGCTGATCTTCTTTCAAATCTCGAAGGGCGTGATTAACTTTGATTTGCTAATCTTCTTGATCAACAAACACTATTGACCCTCAACAATGCAGGCAAAAGCCCATAAAAATTTCGAAAATTTGTGTGAATCCATGCTGAAATTCGCGGGCGAAACTCGGAAGGGTTTCGAAATTTTGGGGATCGGAAGAGATCAAACACAGAGGTAGTGGAGGAGAGAGAAAGATAAGGAAATGGAGAGAGAGAGAGTCAGAAGTTTGGGGCAACCTTTGCAGCTTAACAGAAAGTGAAGCGACTTTGGCGCGCTTATTTTGGCTGTCTTAACCACCGTATAAAAACTTTAGGATAAATTATATTGACACCTCCTTACATTTGATTTTATTACACGGATACCCTCTCATATTTTAAAAATAACACTAAACTCCCTTGACATTTAATACTTGTTGTAACAACCACACCCTCTCTAACTAATAGACATTAAAACTATTCACAGTCAAAGTTGATGTTATCAACAATGATTCATAGAATACCAAAAATATCCTCCACAATTAAGTTTAAGAATTCAAATAAATGTTTTTCTTATCCTACAAATTTACCCAACCTCTCATTTATTTTTTTCAATATATATATATTTTATATATAAATTAAAATTAAAATTTAACATGGCAATGTTTAATTTCCTAATTTATTACATTCATAAGTTAATTTTTAAAATTTTTTTGTTTATTAAATAATATTTGAGATTATTAGTACAGTATAAAAATTTAAAATTTTAATAATTACTTATCCAATTATACCATATTAAAATTTTTTTATTTATTATTTATCTAATTACATAAATTCTTACTCCTACCGCCCATTACCACCAGTCCACCACCTAAACCCACCCAGCACCACCAGTTCCACCCCCTAAAACTTTCAAACCCAGCTAGACCCACCACCATCAGCATAGAGAGAGAGAGAGAGAGATAGAGAAATGAGAGACTAAAACCAAAACCCATTGAAACCACCCCTGCCTCCACCACCACTAAAACCACCACCTGGACTAAACCTATCATCAACCAACACTACCACATTGCAGAGGTTAGGGTTTCAAAATCCACCTACAACCACCACTTGCAAAATCCACCCATTACCACTGATTCCACCACTTAGGGTATCAATCACAGAGAGAGAGAGAGATGTAGATCACAAACCTTAGGTAAAGATTCGTTTGTGCGCCAATTGGAGATCAAATCTTATGGGTGGCAATAATGTTGATGGATAGGTTGTGGTTGTGTTGTTGGGGCTTTGATTTGCTGTGAGAGAGCGAGATCGTTGGTTGATGGGGCTTCGATTTATCGTGAGAGAAATAGATAGTGTGTGTGTGGGGGGAAGGTGGTCAGCTTTCAGGGGAGGGGTCTTGGATCTTGGGTCTTGATGAATAGTTAATGTGAGGGTAAAATGGTCTTTTTGTTTGTGCTGTTAACGACGTTCATTTTGTGTGGTCTTAGTGTAATTTTGGGAACGTGAGGGTGTTTCTGTAATAAAACTAAATATCAAGAGGTGTCAATGTAATTTACCCAATACTTTATTAAAATTAAAACAATAGAATAACAAGCTGTGGTGAGAGTTTTTCCTATTTCAAATTGAGCTCAAGCCGAAATAGGTCAAGAAGAATATACATAAGCAATCAATTCAAACAACATTCTGAATTCAGAGTTTAATAATTCTTTTGAATCAAGTTATGAGAGATTTATTCTTTATGAATATTCTATTTTCAGCGTGGATAATTTGTCTTTTACTAAATTGAGGAAGAAATTAGTCAAAATATGCGTAAATTAGTCTAGACTCCCCCAACTGTTGAACTCAAAAAAAAAAATGCTCTGAGTATGATTAGTTCTGATAATATTCAATACGATTAGATTAATTGACATGAATCAATGTAAAATTAATAAATTTAAATTCAATCTAAATAAGTTTGAATGATAAATATATAAATTCAATATAATAAACGAATCGTGTTGAGATGAAGTATTTTATCCCATTTATCACCTGTCTCTATTTGTTTATTATTTGATTATCTGATCTAATATCTTGAGGTAAAGATATTATAAGAGCAATGTTATTAGAGAAACAGTAATCTTACATGAATTAAAAAAATAGATTTAAAAATTAGATTTGATAATCTCAATAATTGATTTTACTATAAGTCCCAGTAAACTCATAAATACTCAAATGTTCTAAGTTTGAATTTTAATAATTTTTTTATGTCAAATCATAAATACTCTAATTTTGATGTTGATGGTCTGATTTTGATTAGAGTAAAGAGAATATTAATTGAGGTAAACATAAATCGATCAGAATACACTTTATCCAACCATAATACATAAATATTGAAAGCACTTTCTCCATTTAAGAATTTATTATGAGATAGTTGCACTTTTAGTGATGTGGTGTGAGTGGTGTGACCATTGCATCCCATATTTAGTCAAGAACACATCAAAGAAGCATGCAGATACAAACACAAACAACTGAACACTTCTTCTTAGATCACTGCCACATTTCGTTTACCAGAACTTCCATGTATGAAGTGAACAAAGAATCGTTAAACATCCATGCACAAGTACAGTAAATGTAGAGGGAGAAGACAAGTGTTTCACCATTCACCAACTCTCTCGATGTGTCAAATCCTAACCCTCCTTCCATTCCTATATATACCCAACATCTCCGATAGCCGCTTCTCATCGGCACCGGCAACAGCACACACACAAAAAAAAAAAAACTCTCACTCCACGATGGCTTCTATTTCTTCTCTCTCTCTAACTCTTTGCTTTATCGTTCTTTTTTCACGGCTATTTCGCTCAGTTAGAGTGACAATGGGATGGCTTCAGGCAACAGCGGGAGCACACCACGTCCAGGCCAGAGGGGAGTGCCGCATTCAGAGGCCTAATGCTCAAGAACCCAACCGCCGGCTCGAGTCCGAGGCCGGAGTCAATGAGTTCTGGGACACAAACGATAATGAGAAGAAGTGTGCCGGAGTCAAAGCAATTCGCCATATGATTCAGCCTAGAGGCCTATTGTTGCCTGCTTACAACCATGCACATCAGCTCACTTATATCGTCGAAGGCTGGCCCCCCTTCCCTCCTCCTTCTCTCTGTGCCTCTTTCTTTCACTCAGCTAATTACTCAGTAGTTTTAATCCATTATTCTTAACTCACTCAATTCGCCTATAAATAAATAGATTGAATACTTATATTAATAATGCGAATTCTAAATGAGTTGGATAATATGATTTATTTTAATTAAATGAGTTAAGATGAATTACAAATAAGTGTTGAGAATTTATTTTTTTATTAAATAATATACGTAATAAAATTAAATAAATATATTAATACAATAAAAAATATACACATTAATACATCAAAATATGCACACATTAATACATTAAAATATGCACACATACACTAATATACCAAAACACACTCACATTAGTTCATAAAAAATGCACACACACACACACACTAATAGACTCAACCCCAACCCATGCCCTGACCAATGACACAAGTAATAAAATAAATATGTTTGTGTTTTTATGTGCAGTATGTGTGTTTATTTTTGGTGGGTATTCATATTAAGAGTTTTAATTATTTTACCGGGTCTACTGCCTTTTGAGATCAAATTGGTCCACTTCTCAGGAATTTTGAAAATCAACATAGAATCTCTCTTTTCGGAAGCATACCGTTCGTTCCATCATGTCATGATAAAGGCCCTTACCATTCCATCCTGCTATGCATTCAACACTCCCAAATTTGGAAATGCAAACTAAAACTTCAATGGTAAAGGAAGTATGCCAAACGGAAAGGAATAACCAATCGATGAAAGAACATGAAACCATTACATTTCAATAGAGGTACGAGAAATGGTTGAGGGCAATGAAGTAGGTGAAGTGGTTGGATTTTGCAAGCTGTTCCAACCACTGCTTGATGTGATTCCAAGAGCCGAACGAGAATGAATACCACACATAAGAGTCAAGACCTGACTTCCTAATGGAATGTTTAACTGATCCATTCCAGATTGATCAAATTGGTACGGAAGTTGTAACATGGGAAAACATTAAGAGGTCCAGCTTGAGCTGGGTCTTGAGGATACGCTTGGAATCAAGCACAAAAAGGATTCTGATTTCGAAATGGCAATTGCAAAAGCATTTTTGTAAAAGAAAGAAATTTCACCTCTTCTGCCTTTCTAGGCTTCACAATACCTCTCCCTAATGGTCGACCCTTTGAGTGTGGATGAAAAGTTGGTTTATTGACATTGATACTTTAAGCATGCGCCAAGCGATTAGGTTACCATCGAAGAGTTCTTTGAGACTTATCTATTAAATCAAACCTAGCCTACACCCTATGACACAGAGTTACATGAAGAATCATCACTTTCCACTAGGCTGACTTCTCTAAACTAGACCCAGAATCCCAAATTTAATATCCCTATTTTTTCCAAGAATACCATCAAATATCATTCATACCATCAATTGTCCCCTTGAAAAATCAATCAATGGGAAAATAAATAAAGAAGTTAAAACCCACTCAAAATATTCTTAAGAAGAGTCACTCTACCCATATACATACCCCGACTGTATGCATTAACATTGGCACCCAATTCTATCAAAGTCTTGGCAACATTATTAAGCTCCGGAGTCATGCAAGCCGCAATCAGTGGAGTCTTCCCTTCTCTATCCGTCCACTGCACCAAAAATCACCACGCAACAATACTTATTCAATTTTCCACCACAATAATTCATTCATAAACCCACCAAAAAGCTCCTAGACAACACAATCCTGGAAAATTGCCACACACACACATATTATACATACATATCTATATGTTAGAGAGAGTGAGAGAGACAGAGAGAGATATTGAAGATTGAAATTTTTGGGTACCTCGAGGCCAGCACCTTGGGAGTGAAGAGCTTTGATGCCTTCTATGTCACCGTGGTTGACTTGCTTATACAGCGACTCCTCTTTCGATTGTTGTAGCCCCATCGNATTGAAGATTGAAATTTTTGGGTACCTCGAGGCCAGCACCTTGGGAGTGAAGAGCTTTGATGCCTTCTATGGCACCGTGGTTGACTTGCTTATACAGCGACTCCTCTTTCGATTGTTGTAGCCCCATCGAAACCTAGCCGACGGTTCCCCCAAGTATGACCCTAAGATCGAAGGAAGGAGAAGTAATCAATATATAGGAGAAAATTTTCCCGGAAAATGAAAATTTTCTAAAGAAAGAATTGAGAGAGTTTTCTTTGTATACAAGGTAATCTAGATGATCTAACTTTTGAAGCTTTCAATGCATAACGGTCAACTGGATCGAAGTGGACGCGTAGGCTCAGAAATCAGGTGCTTTGCAGACCACGGAAAATAAGGAAGGAAGGATGATATAGAACGCCAGTCAATTATATTGGGTGGATTCGTATCGGGGGCTGTTATTCAAATTCAACTACCGGTTTGGTTTGACTTTTGCTCGTTCAAACTCAATTCGTTTTCTAAACGGACGTAAATTTGAACAAATTTTTAAATTCGTTTAAAAAATAAGTTTTATAAATTCGACTTATTTGTGTGCGAATACTCGGACTCAGCTTGACCTCGACTTATTTTTAACTCGTTCAGATTCGACTTGTTTTCTAAATGAGTCAACTTTGAATAATTTTATTAGCTTGATTAAGAAATAAATTTTTCAATCTCGACTCAGCTCAGACTTNGTTTTCTAAATGAGTCAACTTTGAATAATTTTATTAGCTTGATTAAGAAATAAATTTTTCAATCTCGACTCAGCTCAGACTTATTCGACTAACAACCCCATTTGTATCTAACGAGTTCTATCATGTTGGATTTATATTATGTATAATTATATATAAATGAGTCGTATCATATAATATATTTCTTTTGATTTGTTTCATCCACAAATAATTTATTTATTAATTATGTCATATCAGGTCCATTTATTTACAATACGAGTGACTTTAAAAAAACACAAATTTTTTAACTTCGTGTTACGATTTGTATCATATTTTAACACTCTTCATATAAATACTCGAACAAATAGTAAATAATTAGAGTTATCTATCTATTTGACTTTTGAACTATATAATTTTTGTTAATTAAGTCCCTGAATTATGATTTGTGTCAATTTAACCTTTAAACTATATTATTTACATCAATGTGACCCTTTCCGTATAAATTTGTGGTTAACTTTGATGGAATTTCTCANCTATATTATTTACATCAATGTGACCCTTTCCGTATAAATTTGTGGTTAACTTTGATGGAATTTCTCACGTGCCCATCACGTGAGTCAGGGATTAGAGTATAATTTAAATTTAGGGGCCAAATTGACACAAAATATAATTTAGATGCTTGATCAACACAAATAGTATAATTCAAATGTCAAATAGATAATTAAAGATACATTTAATAATATTATATTATTTTTTTGTTTTTTTAGTACCGTAGTCAAACTCCCGAGAAATAAAGTGGTCTGAACAAATTGGATTTCAGGTGTTTTTTCTGATCCAGTGGATGGGGTAGACTTTTAAAATTACTAGGATGCCCTTTGGTTACAAGCAAACCGAGGTAGGAAAGAATGGGAGTGAAATGAAACCAAAAAAATAGTTGGAGAGTTGAGTGGGGCTAAAAAAAGGTTATGTGTGATTATTTAAAAATAAATAAATGTTTATAGTAATATTTTGTAAGCGAGAATAGTTAGGCGGTGATAAAAAAAGGGTTATAAGTGATCGTTTGAAAAGAAATGAATGATAGAATAAATATGTCGTGAAATGAACGTCAAAACTCATCAATTCTGTTTATAATGCTAATAGATTACAATGAACTTCATCCGCTTTGGCATATTTTCTTTATGATGCAGAGAACTATGGACACATAACAATGCAAAATGTGTTCACTAGAAGTACAGTTTGTGATCATAGAATATTAGAAGAATTATTGGGTTTCAAGGTAACTTTATGGTTCCTAGATTTGCATTATAGGCAGTTTTCCTTTTTCTTCTTTCTTAATTTGTATGGTGGGTATGAGCTTCCCACCCACCACCCACCACCCATCTGCCCAACCCCACATTTATTGAAGGAGGAACAACAATGTATTGCAGGTATTACAAACAATGAAAACATTTCGAAAATATTTCAGATAAGTCTTAAAACACAAAAATAGATTCAAAGAAAGAAAAATAAAATCTGTTTAAGAAATGTTGGCCAATACGTATGACAACATCCCGANTATTACAAACAATGAAAACGTTTCGAAAATATTTCAGATAAGTCTTAAAACACAAAAATAGATTCAAAGAAAGAAAAATAAAATCTGTTTAAGAAATGTTGGCCAATACGTATGACAACATCCCGAAAACACTTTGAAATATTTTGAAGTGCCTCAAAACATGGGAATTCACTTGTTGATTTCTTATNCGTATGACAACATCCCGAAAACACTTTGAAATATTTTGAAGTGCCTCAAAACATGGGAATTCACTTGTTGATTTCTTATTGTTTTCAACCAAATTGAAACGTTTTGGACATTTTCGATGGAAATTAAATAAAATTTAGATCCATGTGTGCCATGTACTTACTTTTTTTGTTGATAAAAATGGAAGATTAAGAAATATGCAGTTTTAAAAGTTGTATTTACATTCATACATGAATTATATCTAAAGCAGCAGATCTGACTTATCTCTCCTGCACTTTGTTACATTAAAAAAAATTCATGATGGGAATTTCATAATCTGCTGTACCAGTACAATGGTAACTACCAGATACTGAGAATACAACAGTACAGGAAATCAAAGAACCAACTGATTAAAAATCTATGTGTTACTTGTTCTGCTTCTGGTCATGTAATCTTGATATTGGTACTGCTCTTTCTACTTTGAAACTGAGAAAGAATTCTTTTGCTTTATCCATCGCAGAGCTGATCCTTCATCCTACATACAAAAATTCATGCATTTGATTGCAAGACCTAAACTAACAAACTATTCTACGAGGAGGGTGCTGCCTCGGCATTTTCCTCAGCAGGTGTTGGAGCCCCAGATGGTCTGGTTGGGGTGCTGGTTAACTTGGTTAGGCTGTACTTTTTAAGCAGCCGATCTTTATTATCCTTCCACCATTCTTCTGCCTGTTGCTCTGCAAACCTTCGTTTGCTGTAGCAATATTGACACATTTCAGTGAGATACAAAAACATTTGGGAGGACAACAAAGTTCTTTTTAAACAAGCTGGTTTCCATCAATTTTTGTAGCTACATCCAGATTCCCGATCACTCACTACATTTAATGGATTTGCTGCTAATGCTGTTAGGTATGCTTCATGAAAATTAGCACTTGTCACGTGCATGAATAATGCATTTGACGATTGCATAGTGTTCATGAGAATGAAGGAAGCATGCAAATATAAACATTTACTTGATCTCCCTGCAAATAGGTATAGGATTTTGTGAGCAATTGTCTTAAAATTTAATTAAGTGGTTGCTAAGATGTCAACTGATCAACTCCAAGATAAATTCACATCTGAAATATGAAGAAGAACCAAAATTGGCAGATGTGGAAAACGTTGAGAGTTGTTGGTGAAGTTATATTTTATGAAAGATCTGAGGTGGGAGTTCTAGGGTTGATAAAATCAAGGTTGAAAGGAAAACTCACCTATCAACTTGTGCAAATATCATCCGTATATGCAAACATGTTTTTTATATGACAGTTTGTATTTGTGTGCATGACTTGTGAAAGCTTTAAAAGATTTTCATAAAAGAAGAGCAGAGTACGCCATCTAGTGAAGTACCTGAATCTAACTCGCTTGAAGATCTTGGTATTATCTCCAAGTTGAATGAAAGTTACATAAACACCTGGTTCAAATTGTTCAATGACTTCTTTTTTTCCCCCAGTATTTGCTACTTTAGGTGATCTTGAATCACTTTCAGAGTGTTGAGGGGTAGCTTCAAGAGATTGCCCATTGCTGTTCTGTGGCGTACCTTCACCATCCTTTGATAAGTCTTGGAATCTACCAGCATGTACATGGTCCTCCATCCTGTTAGCTAACATACCGACTGATGAAGTGTTTTGAGGCAGATTTTGTTGGTCAGATACCAACTCTGATGGCAAAGAAGAATGGTCTTCAGATGCTTCAGTTAAATTGGTATTCAGAAACATTTCAACTTGAGCACGCAGAGCTTTAAAGGTTTCACATTCTGGGATCTCAGGTGGCAACTTCTCTGTCATTTCCTTCAGCTGCATAACATTAAAAAAAAAACCACAGATAACAGGCTTATAGTGCAATTTCCTTTTTCGCTGGAGTAGAAGAGATCCAAACTTCATCTTATATCATTTTTGTCTAGTCATGATAGGATAATCATGCCATGAAGGATTTGTATATGAAAAGGGACCTGGGTACCGTAAGTAGACGTGGACAAATAAAACAGGACTGATGAATCAATGGAAGTTAATATTATATCATTTTAATCTTCTTTAACATTAAGGACTCAATCATAATGGACATTTTGGGTTCATAATAATGGATATTCATGCATGTTAGCAGTGAAAAGTCAGAAAAACATGCATACACACACATACATCATGTATATACTTGCAGCCCTATGTATGTATGTAGGGGCCATTGCAGGTGTAGTGGTAAAACTCTGGCTAATGACCTAATGATAAGGACATGGTGAGTATGACAGCAGCTGCCGTGCATTTAATGCTGACGGCTAGACTCATTCCACCTCTCCTAGCACTCACAATGTTGGAGACCAAAATAGGTAATGGCCTCTTAAGTATGTCCATGCATTTGTGCTATTCCATCATATATAACCTAATGGCAACTGCGTTGAGCACTTTTAGAAGGCTGCGTTCAGCTATATTTTCTGGACATTAATGAAATCAACAGAATCTTGGTGGAAATATTATGCTATTCGTTGCCTTGGAATTCATGTGTTTTATTTAGGAATTTGAAGTTGATGTCATAATTTCACAACATTGCGCCCTCATAATTGC